GACAAAGAGAAAGTTAACATAGAGGGGAAAAAAAGAAAAAGAAGAAAGGGGTAAAGGAAAAAAAAGAGGAAAGAGGAAAAAGAAGAAAGAGAAAAAAGAAAACAGAAAATTAAAATTTTGATAAAAAAGAAAAGGAGAAAAAATAAAAAGGAGAAAAAAAGTAAAAATTCTGACAAAAAGCTGGCTTTAAAGTATCACTGGCAGTTAAAAAATTATCTAGTAATTAAAGAAAAAAAAAGTATAGGTATTAGGGCAATCTGGTTACATTCCCTGGGAATTGTTTACAACCTGAACAAACCAACAGCTCTTTACCTTCATCTCAAACCAGTTTGAATTAGGATGACTCAAAATGTGTCTATAAATTTGCAATATTGTTCTATGATGTTGCAAAGACCTAGTCAATTAACACAAGAAGCTGGACAAAGCTTTATGAAGATGCACTCAACATTTTTTTCTCACTGGTCAGGTTATTTATGTTCTCTAGCTCTGCCCCATAAAGACAGGACACAATTTTAATGTCAGCATAATTAATGTATTTCCAAAGTCTTGGATCCCACGTCACATGAAATTGTCTTTCAGAGATGTCTCCTTACTCTTTTTTTCACACTACAGTTTTACACTAACACCAAAATTACCATCATTAGGTGACCTAACTGTATTTTCCCAGTGTTTAAAAATGGTTGAATGAATCACTAAAAAATTCTACCAGGCAGATCAAAGCATCTGCAGAAAAGCCATCATTCTATATTAAATCTTATTGAATTGGTTCCAAAATTATGAGTAATCTTTATGAGATGATTGGTATTTTAATGTCTGCTAATCAAGTTTGCACCTAATAATCCAATCGATTGTCAGGCTTTATCACTTTCTCACCTGTATCAATGTCTCAATGTCAAGCCTGAAAGGACTGACATAATGTGAGGTATTTTCATCACTAAAAATTACTTCTGTTTTAAGATGAAACAACATTGTGTGTGCCATGTTGCCTCAGTGCAGTGTTGCATATATATAGGATAGTCATGTTATAACTCTGCCATGTTTCAGAACCATGAAGCCTATATTCAAAATTAGCAAAAAAAAAAATATTCTTTTTTCCCCCTTATATATTTCCATATTGCTTTTATGAATCTAAAAGAAATGCACATCAGCATTTCATATAGAAAGTGCCACACTCAGCTTCACACCTTACTCTGTGGCCAGGAAATGCTTGATATTCCATATCCTCTACATGGCTGAGCTGCTGCTGTCACCCACGATGTCGATGTACTTGAGAGCTTCTGGTTGTTAAAAGGCTCCCAGTAGGTCTGTTTGGGAAGCACAAACTGCAGTTTCCAGGCAACATTACGGAAATCCATGAATACTTGCCATTAATCACAAAATCTCCTATTCCAATAGGAATTTTATAGTCAATTGTGAAGCATTAAAAGTCAACTGTTACCAGGATCATGGTTATTTAGAATCATTTTTTTGAAGCTAACAGTGCACAGCAATTCATTCTTAGAGCAGAAGAACGACCTGTTTTGGGGTATAGGAAGGTTGTGCTGAAATCTTTTAAGCTTATTTTGATGTACACGATGGCTTCATTGAAGTCAGTTGAGGATCAAGGTCTGCACAAATTCCAATATAGTTTCATACAGAAGACTACAAAGGAAGGGCTGTAGGGAAGATTAACAGTAAATGCTGCATATCACAAAACTAGTAAGTAGGTGGTTGTCTTTGAACTTACTGTGAGAGAATACATTTTATATCAACAGCCATCAGTGACAGAAAGACACAAATAAAAACATGTGGTAATCACTGCCTACTGAAAACAGTTGTTTTCAAACATCTGCTCTCTCACTGAACTGCTTTACAACACTGTTTTGACATAAATATATCTCCAACATCTTTTATCTCATATACTTCTTTTAATAGTTTTCTGAAATGTATTTTAAGTACTTGGTGCAATTAGTAAGCCTAGTTAAGCCTTATTTGTACACTTGATTTCCTTTACCCGGTGCTGGCAAGTCCAAACGACATTCACCGCTACGGGAGTGAATAGCATAAACATGAGGTAGAGCTTTAGACAGTTGAATTCTATACTGAAACCCTTACAATGCCACAAAAAACTATCACCTACTGTGCAAACAAAGACACAAGCACAGTATGAAAACCAGTACCCTACCATCTTAAATATTTCCTGTACACCTCAAAGACAAGTCCTAGATTTTCAATAATGTATGGCATGACCATTCTATTTTTACTCTACACAGCCTTGATTCTACAAGTAGCGAGACTGGTCTGCCCAGAAATAACATTATCTGATGTTTCAATGACTAACAGATCAGTTTATAATAATCTTGTAGATCATGAAGAATGAGCATCAGGCTGGATTAAGTAGGACTTGTTTGACCTGTTCAGCTAGAGGTGGACTCTGACAATTTGATTCCAGCCTGCAGTGTGAAGCAAAAGGCTCATCCAGAAAACTGTGAGCCCTATGCCTACCTTCCTAGTTAAAATAATTTTCTGGGTATATTTTTCTATATAAGCAACTCCTAACTAAATAACAGTTGTCATCTCCAACTACCTCAGATCAAGAGTTCATTACTGCATTTTCCACTTATATTCCTAACTTTGACCTTGGAACTACTCCTAAGACAGTGAGCAGTAATTCAGTCTCCTGACTACCTCATTCTAAGAGGATCTCTCCTGAGAGCAGGCTGCTAAAGGCAGTTTTGTATTTGACCCAGTGCTAGAACAACAAACTCCATTTCAGTTTGAGTTACAGTTTGGGTTTGGTCCAGGACTACAGATGGCATCAAATGCAGTTTTCTTTCTTGTAAAATCACAAATCAGCAGCATTTCTACCTTGGGGAAGGTGGCATTTTCAAGTGCACTCATCACTGATCTTCCTCTCCTTCTTCCTGTGCATTTCATATGGGAAAAATGGAGGGGAGGGGGGATGAACACAACAACATCCAAAGGTTTCTTAATACTGAAAAATTAAAAAAGAGAAAGAGGATACCTGAACTAGCGTTAATCCTATTGATGGTGCTCAAACAGATAACCTTTTCAGGTCTCAAAGTTTCTTTCCGCATAACAACTATTTGGGAAAGAAACCTTATAATTTCTGTAGTTAACAGTGAGAGCTTCAGTAACTTAAACTATTATAACATTCTACCACTATTTCTTGAAAACAGTATATAGTAATGTATTTGAGAGATCCAACTTATTTTAAGGTTATATAGAATTCTGTATTCAAAATGACTGCATCATTTGATATGAATAAATTACTCTGTTTCTTTTGTGTTTTATGAAGCCTTATAGTACAATACAAAACAATTTATACAAGCATCGCCATGAATAATGACCACACTGACAACTTTTGACTGGACTCACAGATTGCATGTTTCTTTCCTTTGACTGGTAAATGGACAAAGAGATTGGTTCAATCAAAGAGTCATTGATCTAGGGAAAGTATTTTTCTATTTCTGTTTAGTTAAAGTGACAAATCTTAATGAGATTGTTTAAGCTGACTTAAAACTGATTTATACTGATTTTTTTTTTATTTGATTAGTTACTATGAACACAGATAAGGAACGAGACCCAGTAATAGATATTTGTGCCTGATTGTGATCCCATAATACCACAGACTTATCAGAGTCAAGTTTGATTTCAACTGCAGCAGTAGGCAAATGAAGATGAGGCCCCAGACCATAACATTTTATATCTATGTATACATGTATGTGTGTCTGTGTGTGTACATATATATTTGGTTATACAAATATGTATTACCATTAATATCCCTCCTACTACATTCCCCTGTCAAGGGAAATTCCCCTGTTCAGAAGTTGGACTCAATGATCCTTGAGGATCCCTTCCAACTCAGGGTATTCTATGATTGTATGAAATCAAATGTAGAAAATGGAAAATTTGCTTCACCTAAGACATTATAAATTTGATGGATTTGAAATAATTTAGGTAATTGTCTTGCAAAGATGATTAAGTAACATAATGGTCTACCCCACATAATGATACATTCTTTACACATTCAGCATGATTTGTACAGCAGAGGTTGACAGCAGTCTAGTTGGATGCCTGGTACAGAAAGCTGTTTCCAGGAGGGCAGGTGGTAGCAGGAAGGATTAATGCAGTCCTGGCCTGTCTCTGATGGAGGAATGGGGACTGAGAATGGGGTGATAGCAGATGGAAGCCTCGTTGCTCCCTTCCACTACTTGTTCTCAAACTGACCCAAGGAGGTCCCCTCCCCCACCTTCTCCATCAGGGTCAAAGCTGCTGCCCCCACAGCCCAATCTGGTTGTCTCTTGCAAACCCACTTTGGTCCTCTGGCAAAGTACACAGTAGGTTGTACTTGGCTGAAGGGTGACTGATGGATCTGCAGTCTTCTTCATTCACTTCATCCCTGCATGACAGAGCCTCAGTAAACGTTCCATTCCAACCTTTCCATTCTCTTCCAGCTTTCCTCTGCTGACAAATCAGACCCCTCAACACCCATCATCAGCATCCCCAGTTCAGGTATCAGCTCTCAGATCTGCACAGTGGGTGTCATCACCTGGCACCACCTCATTCTGCTGCCGTGAGATGCCTTCTGCAGAAAGACATTCACCAACGTCAAACTCAGCTGGTCCCAACCGTAGTAAGATCAAAAGAAAAAAAAATTAAAAAGGAAAAAAAAAGGTAAAAAAATTCCCCAAACCCAAGAAAAAACCCGATCTTCCAAACTGTCCTGAGAAGGGCGACACCTCCGTGGGCGTTACTCGACGGCAGCCACAGGCCCGCGAAGCCGGGGATTTCGGGCACGGAGCAGCCCAACAGGTGAGGCAGGCGGACCGCGCAGGGGCCGCCTCAGCCTCACGGGGCACCCATGGCCGTGCGCCGCTCCTCGCCTCCTCAGCGCGGCCGGCCGGGCCCCTCCGTCCGCGGCGGGGTCAGGGAGGCGTTATTGGACGGTGGAACTGCCCGCCGCCCGAGCGCCGGCTCCCCTTTTCTTTTTTTTTTTCCCTTTTTCTTTTCCTTCCTTCCCGCCGGCGGCGGCCCCCGGTGCCTCCCGGCGCGGTGCGTTCGTTACCTGGCGCTCGGCGGCGGCTCCTTCCTCACCTGTGCGCGCCTCTGCCAATGGCAGCGCACCTGGCGGCCGCGCCGCCCAATCAGCGCGCGGCTCGTCCCTCTCCCCGCTCCTTTAGTGAAAGAATCCAGCGCCGCTCGGGAAAGTTACCTGTGCGCGCCCGGCCCGGCCGCTCTCCCGTGCCGAGCCCCGCCGGCGCCCCAGCCCCGCCGCTCCCCACATGCCAGGGGGAGGGGGCTCTACCTGTCCTGCCTCGGCGGCTGGCTGTGGAGCCGGGAGAGGGGGGGAAGGAAAGCAGAATTACCAGTAGCTCTGGTTCTGCCGTCCCGGGCGTTCACACGCACACCTTCACCTGCACAGACCTGAAAGTCCAGTTCCGCCAGGCAGACGGAGGCACCGGGAAAAGGGGAGAGAGTTCATTGGATCAAACATGTCACAAGAGACGGACAAGTAAGTGATCGTAGGCACGCCGCTGCGCCCGCTGCGCGGGGCGGCCCCGCCGGGCTGGCCGTGCTCCCCTTCGCCGGTGGCGGACGCGGACCTGCCGGGACGGCGCTTCTCCCTCTTCTCCCTCCTGCAGCGACGCCGGAGCGGGCGCACGGACACTCCGGAGAGCCCGAGGACGAGGCTGCGGCTCGCGGCCCCGCACCTCGCTCTCCGCCCGGCCGTGGGGCTGCGCGATTATTTGTTTAATTCCCCTTTTAGTTTAGAGGGTTTTTTTGTTTATTTGTTTGTGTTGTTTTGATTTTCCCCCCTCACCTCGAGGGTCACTTTTCGTGACAGAGAGCTCCTCGCCCTGGAAGAGCGGAGCGGCCTCCGGCCGCCGAAGGCCTTGGACGTAAAGAGCTTCTTGGCTTTTGTGTTGGCGCAACAAAGGGCCTTTATCCCCAAAGGGCCGGGGACGGCCATCTTCCCCCCCCCTCGGCTGGGGCCGGCGGGGCAGGGGGCCCGGGCGGCGAGAGGAAGGCCCTGCCTCGGCCCAGGTACTCCCCGGCCGCTCCATGCGGCGCCTCCTGCCTCGCCGTCCTGACCTTGTTTTCCCGGCGGGACGCCCGGGCGGGCCCGCGGCTGCCGGAGACCGGCGGGGTTAAAAAGTAACTTTCCCACTAGCGGGGCCGAAGGAGAAAGATGAAGAAGAGAAGGAAGCCTCCCGGACCCGCCGCAGCCCCTCTCCCGCCCGGCCTGGCTGTAGCGAGGCCGGGACACCGCGGCGGTGCAGGGGTACTCCCGTTGTCTGCCGGGGCCGCCGGCCGTGGTGCTGGGTGCCCCCGGAACCCGCAGGACCGCGGCGGGCTCGGTGTCCCCGGCACGGGGAGCGCCGCCGGGAGCCGTCGGTGGGCGCGGAGGCCGCGGCGTGCGCCCCTCCTGCCGCCGCGGCTCTGCCAGCGCCGGTGCCGAGCGGCCAGGCCGCGGCTGGGGTGTTCCCCCCGGTAAACAATCCGCACAGGCGCTCCCGCCATGGCGGCGGGTGGTTCGGCGTGGCGCCCAGAGCCGCCGTGAGGCAGCCAGGCGGGAAGGCCATTTTCCCTGCTCGGGTGATTAGTGCTGCTGCTGGAGGCGGCTGGCGAGAGTTACGGGGTAAGGAAGATGGAGGGCGGGAGGTGGCTATTTTGTTTTACTGCTGTCCTGGTGCAGGTAGGAGTGCCCCAAACACGGGTGTGAACTCGGCTACGTTTGGTGTTGCTCAGGTGCTAGCCCTGGTTGGGCTGCCCGGAGCCTTTGTGCCAAAGGAGGTGGAGAGGAGGAGCCTGATGTTGGAGAGAGGCTTGGTGACAACCTGCCTGTCAAAGAGTGAAAGAAGGAGATTACCCGGCAAAAGAAAACAGCAGGGTTGGGTCCCCCCGATAGGGAAGAGACAGGATAGGACGGTTCAGAAGGGAAAGAGTAAACAAAAAATATTAAGCCTGACCTTTTCAAACATCAGCTGACAGTGTGATTATACGAAGGTAGCTACTGGCATGAAATTAAACCGATTTGGGTAGGAGTTGAAAGTGGCATTTAGGAGTTCATCTGAGTTGGGATGGGAACTAATGCCTTAGGTGGCCAGATTAGAGCAGTAAATGATTAAAGTGCAAGGAAGGGAATAACGACAGAGCCCCGAGGGGTGCGGGTGCGTGAAGGAGCAGCTGAAAGAGCAACTCAGTTGAGAGGGGGGCCAAATTAACTGTGGAAGAGCTGATAAACAGTGATAGAGGACATCCCACAGCAATGGGCAGTTCCAGAACGGCGTGAAGGTGAAAGGGGCCTGTAAATTACTTCCTGGCTAAGCCTAGTTGCCAGTAGTTTTAGCAGCCAGAAACGAGGCTGCGGCAGATCAAGGGCAGTTAATGGGCGTGGGAGTGGAATATGGAAAGGTGGGGGGGTCAGAAGAGCAACTTCACACCATAGTCGGGTTTGAATCAGAAAAACAGTGGAGAGGAAACCTAACTCATGTAAGAAACTAAAGAGAAAATGGTTTCCCTCTGGGTCTGGGACGCTACTGAGATACTGGACTATCCTTCCTTTCCAACAGCAACAATATGGCAAACGTGTAAACTACTGAGACTGGAGATTAATGCCCTTCATCCCCTGCTCTGTGTAGTGCTGCTGCTGTTACCACTGTGAGGAATTTAAGAGCAGTACAGAGCACACAACCTCAAGTAACAGCACTTGCTCCATTGCAGGTATGCATGTGATCTGTTTCTGGTTAAGGTGTTTAGAAAATTTATAGGTGATAGGTAAAGGTTTGAAAAGGAAATGAAGAGTAAAGAAATCCCCTGTGCTCTCTACAGACAAGTGTAACATGAGAAGACAAATACATTTGTTTCCAGAAGAGATGACCAGATGGAATGAGATAATAGACTGGTGTGAGGAGTTTGCATGGGAAGGTTTTTGGTGTTTTTTTTTGGTTTTTTTTTTGGTTTTTTTTTTTTTTTAACTTTTTTTTTTTTTAGGTTCTAATTATATCCAATTAGAACCTAATCCAGAGAGTGCATTATTCTCCTCCACGTGGCCTTTCTTTTACTTAAAACTAGATCTTCGCTACAGGCAAGACTGGAGAGTGGAGCTCATTATTTTGAAGTCATTAAAGTTGTCAGAGTCACTGGACATGTTTCTGTGGGGCTTCTGCTACTAAAGTGTTGGTGTAGAGGACTAATCAGGGGTAGGGATATAGATAGTGTGGAAGAATACATTCTGTGGGACTTGCTTGCACCTTGCTGGAGAGGTGATAGACCCTCTGCAGTACTACACCGAGCTGCCTGCAGTGTCTGTCTTTGGAGAGAGCAGTGGGGACAGGTTCTGTAGTGCTTTAAGGGAGGAAGGTGGACAGTTAGGTGAAAATGCTAAAAAAACAGGTGTTTGATTGTAATGCTAACTGAGGACCTTAGCAGGGCAGATTATCCTTAAGATAGGTGTACTATCTCCCTGTCTTTCCCTTTAGTCTTTCTGCCTAAACTAGGTCTTGTCTGCTTGTTTCCACAAACTCTGGGGTCAGGAGAGATAAGGCATGATTGCACGTGCATTTTTCAGAGGTAATACCGACTTAAGCAGGCTGTAGCCACTTGTTCCTACCTCTGTTCCAACCTCTCAGGTGTGTCAGTAGAGCTGTTGTGCAGCTAGAGAACTGGCTCAGAGTTGGTGTTATTTTTGACATCCATTTTTCATTGGTCGAGGTTCATATGCAGCAGGGGTGCAAGCAAATGGCAGGAGTTAAGAAAATAACTGTTCAAACTATAATCTCTGCAGAAGAAAATGCATGTCCCGCCCACTCTGAGTGTTTTATAGGTCTGTGCTGCTGCTTCCATTATTATCCAGTTTCCAGATCCTTTGAGGAGAACCTGGGCATTGGTGAAGACTGAGGGACATAGGATGGGAAGGAGGGAGCATTCGTTTTGCAGGGTGAAAAGATTGTTCTAGGGTACACTTCTGTATTTATAGGCTAAAGTTGTTCTTTTGTAGTATACAAAAAAAAAGATCATCTCAAAATTCCAGAGTCATGGCTCTAGTGCATTAGTGGAGCAAATCAGTGAGCTCCCTACTTAAGTGAGGCTTAACTGGGCTTTCGAAATTGACAGCACTTCTGTGAATGAGGAGCAGCAGTAATTGTGCAACCATTTGGGATCTGCCTTGTAAATGCCACAGGTGTGTCCGTGCTGCTCCTGGAGTTGTGTGGAGAAGGCCCAGGTGGGCTGGGACAGCACTTGCAGGCCAGTGGCAGGCCCCAGCACGGCGGCTGCCCCGGCTCTCTCTCTCTCTCTGTGGGGGCTGCTGCCCCGGCTCTCTCTCTCTCTGTGGGGGCTGTCCTGGGGGGCTGCCCCGTCGCTCTGCTGGCTGCCCAGCCGCCTGCCTGCCCCCGTCAGGCTCCCAACAGCCCGGGGTGTGCAGAGCTGCTCAGGACACCAGGTAGCTGGGGCTGGGGCATGCTCAGACTGCCCTCACAAAGGAGGGCTTGAGGCAGCCTGGGTCTGCAGCAGAGCATGTGCTTGTAGGTAAATAACTGAGCGGAGAGCGAACCCGTAGGTGGGAATGGGTTCAGACCTGTTCCCATGCGTCAGTGGAGGCATGTTCACATCCAGCTTGCTGCTTGCTAGTATCTGTGGCAGAAGTTGCTCTTCACAGGGTAGTTTTGATTTACTGTTTTCTCCTCAGTGTGTAAACTTACTGCCTTCATAACATTTAACTTGAGCATCTAGTGCAATAACACAAAGGGGGTGTATAATTTACAACGTGATTCTCTGTTTTGTTCTTAATTTTTTCTTTGAGGGTCAAACACATTTTGCAAGGAAGGTGGAAAATCGGTGTGCAGAACCTCACAGAACTTGCAACCATAAGCTTAGCTAAGGGGAGTAAGAGTATCAAATGGTTGGGACTTGCTGTTTATGCTACTGTCTCTCTGGCACTGGAGTCTGAGACCGGACTGAAGATCAAAGCTGAAGAGGAGGGAGGGGATTTTCCCAGGTCGCTTTAAGTTGCTTATAATGATCACATAACCTCTTACCTGTGGAAGGGTCAGCAGGGGCATCATCAGCCCTGTTTGGCTGGGACATCTGAAGGGGAAATGATAGTACACCAGTTGGCATTTGTTGCCAAACACTTTCACAAATATTAATCCAGTGCAGTGGTCACCTTAAGTATTTTTTTTATTAGGAAGCAGCCAACTAAGCTGCTGTTCTTTGTACATATACAAAATAGCACTTTCAAATGATGATCTAGGAATTAATCCTGGAGTCAATCTTAATTTGCTTTTTGATCATTGATTGGGACAGTACTAGCTAGTTAAAAGAAGAGAAGTAATTATTTCTGACATCTTGGTATACAGAGGTACTGTTCTGTTCTTCTACAGTGCTGACACAATGCAAATGACAGTAGTTGCTTACACAATATTTAACCAAGGAAACCATAGTAAATACATCTGAATGCTGAAGTCAAATATTGCAATGTATCTATAGTTTGAGAATATCTCTCAAACA